TGCGAAAGAAAGAGAGAGAGAGAGAGACCTTGGAAAATGTTTCCCTGGAATTCAATCACACCGCGTAGATAAAGTTATTTCAAAGTTGTTTAGAATCTTGCGAATTTATGAGATATATTTATATTTATGTATATACACGTATATATGTGTATATATCTTATATATATATATATATATATACATGCGTATACATTCGAATATACGTGCAACAAATACGTGCATTTGTGTATTTTAGTTACTTGCGAAAGAAAGAGAGAGAGAGAGAGACCTTGGAAAATGTTTCCCTGGAATTCAATCACACCGCGTAGATAAAGTTATTTCAAAGTTGTTTAGAAAAAAGAAAAAAAAAACGAAAGCAAAAGAACTTACATCTAAAAAGAAACAAGCAGATTATTTTCTCACATGATTATTAAATAACATATAATATATGTTATTTTCATTAATTTTAAAATCATTCACTTTGTTATAACTAAATTTTTCCTTTCTTCTGTGTGTGTGTGTGTGTGTCACAACATGTGCGTGTGTTAATTATTTTGAAAGAATTTGAATATTATTTGTGTTTTTCGTTAACACTAGATATATCAGACCAGTCATCAACAAACAATCACCAGTCATTTCATCAACCAACAACAACAAGGACAACAACACAACAGAATCATTGGCATAATTCTGTTAACACTAGATATACGAATATTTTGTCCATTATTTTTTTTTTAAATTTACCTAACCTACAATTACAACTATAACCTGCAATCTACAATACCAAACAACACGTGCAATAACAAAAGTAGTAACCAACAACAAGAAAAACAACAACACAACAGCATAATCCTCTTAATACTAAATTTACGGATATTTTGTTCATTATTTTTTTTAAAAACTTACCTAACCTATAACTACAACTATAACCTGCAATCTACAACCTACAATAGCAAAAGTAGCAACCAACAACAACAACAACACAACAGCATCATTGGCATAATCCTCTTAACACTAGATTTACGGATATTTTGTTCATTATTTTTTCAAAAATTTTACCAACATTATGTTTGAATGGAAAAATGGTGGGGGTGGGGATGGTTAGAATGGAGGAATTTAATATTAACGTATATATTTCAATTACTTGCATTAAAAATCAACATTTTTATATTTTTTTTTTTAAATTATTATTAAAGTTTAATAATAATTTGAATAATGAATAATTTAATCCTTAACGAACGAGCGTAAGAGTATGGCGGCATTCGTTCGTTAAGGGTTAAAATGAATCAAATTAGCTCATATCAGTCCGTAAATCAAGTGTTGATCTAAACTTGCTTGGCTTTATTTTTTTCATTTTGATTTAATATTAACAATTATTATTACGAGGAAGAGTGGGGTTCTTTATTTTTAATCAACTTTTATAATTTATATATTTTTAAAGTAAACAAATTGATTTTATCGAAATATAGTATATTCGTGAACTTTGGATTAGTCCCCCCCCCCCATCTTTAAGTAAATTGCTGAATTTTTTGACGGAAATAAAAAAGAAAAAAAAAATAACGATTTTGATCAAATTAATTTTATATCTCGAATTAATTCACACATTAATAATTATATATATATATATATATAATAATAATATAAAAATATATATATATATATATATATATATATATGGTAATTGTATCATCAATAAAGTAATTGATGAATACGATGTGAATTATATATATATATATATATATAGTNTATCATCAATAAAGTAATTGATGAATACGATGTGAATTATATATATATATATATATATAGTAATTGTATCATCAATAAAATAATTGATGAATACGATGTGAATTATATATATATATATATATAATGTCGTTCAATCTCAAAAGTCACAGAATAAGTTCTCATCTTTTTTGATTTAAAACAAAAAAAAAATAACCTAAAAACTAAATTTATTAATTATTTCTTATCAATAATAATGCATAAAAGTATTAACAAAAAAAAAAATAGATTTCGTAGTTTAGAAAAATGTTTACTTTTCTGAAATACGTTTATTCAACAACACGTTGAGAAATCCCTAACCTAAAAGACTTAATAAATGTTCTATCATTAATATTATTATTATTATTATTCGAGTGAATTAATTCATTGAACACACACAAAATAGTTTAACATATTTCTTCTTTTTTTTCTTTTCTACAAAGCAGAAAAATTCTTCATTTTGTATTGGGATCTCTGGCACTTGAATACGCTATCTGGTGGCTAAATTCAAAATTAGAGTAGATAGGTCGAATTGCTACATCATCATGGGATCTCTAGTACTTGAGTATATGCTATCTGGTGGCTAAATTCAAAATTAGATTAGATAGGTCGAATTGCTACTGCCACGCCCCTGCCAGAGATCCCAATATTTCTTAAAAAAAAAATAAAAAAAAATGTCTAACTTTCAAAATTCAAGCGTATAATGCATGTTGAAGAACCTTTAATCGAAGAAATTAATCTCAAAGTCTGTAATTATAATTATTTTTATTTTTTGTATTATTATTATTAAATATTATTCGAGTTAATTCATTGAACAAAATTGTGCAAGATACATTTTTTCTTTTTTATTTTATTTATTTATATATATATATATATATATATGTAATCCATCTTCTTATTTTTTCCAAAGCTATGTGTTACCTGCTGTTACCTTTACTCTTTCACGGTTGAATAAAATTAGTCGATAAAATGATTAAAAGCTTTCTCCTTCTCTTTCTTTCTCTTTTTAAGCTTCTTTGATTCTCTTCAGCTATCCTATTCACATACACACACATAATACACATGTACACGTATTATAAAAGAGAGAAAAAACGATTATCTCGGAAAATAACTCTCTCCTTATTGGCCTGCGCGCGCGCACGAGCGCATTTTTACCTTTTCTTTAACAGCAACAGCAACAACAACAGCAATAGCAACAACAGCTTGGTCATTTGCTTGTTTCTCTCTTTCACATGTCAGTGAAAGAAAATGTATATGTGTGTGTGTATGTGTGTTAGGTACGCATGAGAACACACGGGTGTGTGCGTCGTACTTACGTGTGTGTGTGAGTGAATGAGTGAGTAAGTTGGGTACGCGTGAGAATACACGTGCATGTTTGTACGCGCGCGCGCATGCGTGTGTGTAGATATATGTATGTGTGTTTAGAACGCATAGGAATAAACTCTGTGTGTCTGTTGTGTGTGTGTGTACGTTGAGTAAGTTGAAACACGTGAAAACACACGTTTATGTGTACATACTTCGTGTGAGTGAGTGAGACACGTGAGAACATACGTTGTGTGGTACGTATGTACGTGTGAGTGAGTTGGGACACGTGAGAACACAAGTGCGTGTGTAGTGCGTAT